CAGCACCCTGTTTCTGAGCAGCAGTTGTGAACTAAATGCATGACCAGTTGACATGATTTACTTGCAAATCCTTTGATTTAATTTGAATCCTCTTACCTTTTCTGGAGACAAAGGGAAGATACTTTTTGCTGAGTCTTTTTTCAGAGCCCTTGACTTAACTTACTCTTTGCAGAAACTCTTTGGCGGAGATGCAGAATCGCCACGGAGCCAGGGCACCAGATCGGGAACACTCACCTCGCCTAGTCCAAAGAGGTACTGTAAGCAGCTTCTCCAGCTCTTGGGGCCAGGCCCTGCTGTGTTCAGTTTAAAACAGCTTTGCTTGGCTGCAGGCAGCTCCCCAGCTCCTCTGTGGCTATTCTGTAGCTGCAGAGAGCGTGATTTTTCTGGCTGTTAGGAGCAAGCGTCCAATCCTCCTTCAGTTGTTCCACAAAAAGAGTGGACAAATCAAGTAATACAACAGGTAATCGTTTTATCTTCTCCACTTGCAGGAACTGGTGGTCAAGCCTGGCCAGAGCAGCGGAATATCTCAGTATATTCATGTCCCAAATGTGAAGAAATTCTACCTGATTTGGACACTCTGCAGATTCATGTTATGGACTGCATTAATTGAGTGATGCCCTCCAATTCTTCATCTTCTGGAATTTCACTTGCTAAACACTTTTTTTTTTCCTTCCCGCTTGAATAATGCTCAACTCTACATCCCTTAAAGGAGGTTTTCAGGGTTTTTCTCATTAATTCAATGAGAAAAGGGTAAAACTCGTACCCTGCCCTGTACTCACTAATTGTGTTTTAATCTGCTTTAGGAAAATAATTTTTATAGTTTAACAACATGGATGTGTTAAAGAACTTCCAGTGTGTCTGCTGCTAGGAAATCTTTAAGGAACATTCCCCTGCTGCACTCTGCTCCTATGTCTAGCCCGCAGAACAGGGCTGAATCACTGAAGGGAAAAGGGATATATGCTGATCAATTAAAAGAACTGTGAGCTTGTAAATACTTCATCTCTCGTATACTATGTGTCAGGAAACTGATAGATGAAAAAGCTGTTTGAGAAGCTTTCAGCAAAATGGAGTAGTGCTGTATTCATCGAGCATTCGAAATGAACCCTGCTCTTTCTCCAGATGGCAGTTTTAGCGCTGCCCTTGTGACCATACTAATCTGATGTTAAATTTTTGATGGCTTATGTAACTTCTTGCTTTAGCCAGATGTGGGTAAGGTTTAAAACAGATCACTTAGGTCTGATATATGTAGCTCCTGGTGTACCCAAGTCACTTGGTTTTATAGAACTGTTCATTTTTAAGGTGTTGTGTTGATTCTTCTTAATTATAATAAATTTATTTGAACCTGTACAGTATTGTGCTAGAGAGAGCTGAGATGATGTAACCTAATTTAAAGAAAAGAGTATAATGGATTTTCACATCTCAAAATAAATCTATTGCAAATATAGAATTACCTATGTCTGTGAATACTTTGGAGGCTGAAACAGGATTGCAAATACCTGTGACTGAAAAGCTTGTGTAGAAAGAACAGTGCATTAGATCTGTTCTTGTCCTCACTGGTGTTTTTATCTCAACAAAAACCAGTTCTTGCCATTGCATAAGGGAGGAAAACACACAACAAAATGTGAACCAGCATGAATGGCAGGAAACAACTCGAGCAAACTGCTGGAATCCATGCAAACACGGAGTTTCGTGTCTCTTGTAAGTAGTTAATGTTTGAACTGTTGGAAACTGGCAGAGAAGGGGAGTAAGAGATGCATGAAAACCTTCAGCCAAAATGGTGTCTCCTTATGGGATCGTCTTCCTGCTGGAGAAAAGAAAGTGTTGGTCGCTTTGGCCCTGCCCAGTTGGAAGGAAGCCTCCAAGTGGTTTTAGACTAATCTGCAAACATTGGTGTAGGGCAAGATCTTTATTTTTTCCCTCCACTGTTCAAAACTGAATTTCTGGAAGCAAATATGCCAGGACTCGTTACAATCCAATAGCTAAATCTGTGCCATCTTGTTCTGCTGTAGGTCTGTTAGGCTCACCGAGTGGCAACAGCAAGGTCTGTTTGTGCCCAGTCTGATGGCCAGAATTGTGAACCGGGTGTTGGGAAGGAACAGGGTGGGATGATCATGCAACCTGAATATGAAAATCAACATTTTATTTTTAATATCACTTTATGACTTCTTAGGTCACCCTTTCACTTCAAAGTTCACATTATAATAAGCCTGAATGTTTCCTGATTTGACATTCCTAGTCTCAGAGGTGTTGGGTTGCCAGAGTTAGGAAGCCTGAATCCTCCTTCCTATAAAGGCAGTGTGACCTGTAGAAATACTTGGATCTCTAGAAGATAAAATGCAAGAGAACGTGTTTATAACTAAAGCACCTATGCTGGAGTAGGTTTATTTAAAGGGAAAAACTGTAACAGAACGCAATTGTAATTAGTTTTTGTTTGTACATTTGTAATAATTTTAAGAAAAAACAGTGCCCTGATCCCAAAACCTTGCTCTAACCGTGGAGTATGCTTATCTGAGGGACTCATCAGTTACAAAGTTGTTCAGAATTAAAAGCAACCAAGCAGGAATTTGTGTCTCTAGATTTTAGGCAATTGCGTTTTCCTAATGCAGAAAGAAATGAGCAGAAGGGAAAAGGTGAGGGAAATGTCTTGTGGAGAGAATCACCTAAAATCCCCCTGAAGGACTATGTGGATCATAGGCTTCCTACAGAATCAGTGTGAGTGGAAGTGATTGACTTCCCTTATGTATCCGACTTCATTAGGATAGTGCCAGAGTCGTCATAAACTGCTAATATTGCACAGTCTGATCAAAATACTGGCTTTTCAGCATTAGTCTAATAAAATGATTAAAAAGTTTAATAGAAGGGACACAAATTCTACTCAGAACGTAGCAAATCGGGGTAAGAGACCATTATAACATTAATTATTCACCAGGCAGACTTGGAGTAGTCCAAGGTGGGAATTTGTGAACAGAGAACTGACAGCTATGGTGACAGTTATTTACTGTGTCCCACTGCAGGAGTTACTGGGATTAGCATTAGATTCAGTAAATCAGGTAGGTGAGGGACAAGGGAGGTGGGACAGAGTAAGGTGAGCTCAGGACTTAACAGATCTCCATTGACGCAGTTGTTCTTTTCATTTGAAAAGAACAGCTACTTCCATACCCGTTACGTAGATACTCACATAATACATTTCTGTTAGAATATGTGTTGAAAGATCCTAAATGGCAGGACAAATGATGATATGACTACAATTAGCAACAGTTTTAGTCCCAAAATCTGGGGTTTCTCCGTTTACATGCACACCAGAAACAGAGAAAGCAGTTGCCACTGTCGCTTCCCCACAAGCACTACGCCAGGGAGGTAAGACCCCGTGTTCAGACACGTCTCCTCACGCATCTGACACCCTCGTGGGAGCGTTGCGTATGGGAAGCAGTCATGTGCTCACCCTCCATGACGTGGCTTATGACCTGCAAGAAATAGAAGACTGCTCTGTGACTGACAGCAACTGGTTCGTGCCCTTTACTGCTGGCTTATTTCAGGAAGGGGTTTCACCTCCAGAAACACTGGATTCCAGTTTTAAGAGAGATTAGCTAAAAGGAGCATCCATTTTTGTCATTGCTTGTCCTCTCTCCACTGCGCTCACAGGGTCTATGAGAAGATCGCACCTCAGAGCTTTGATTGGTGAGGAGAAAGGGTGTATCCACGCACTTGGAAGAGGGGTTCTGTTTTGGGGATGGCTGTTCTAGCATAATAGCATTCGTGGAAATCGCACTGGGCCCCCAGCTTCAGACAAGGTGATACAGACCATTCTCAAGGAAAAGAAGTCAACCCACGGTACAAAGTTCAAGTGTTACTGCTGGCCATCAGTGATAACTAAAGGAGAGCAGCACGGTTTTTCAGGTACGGGAGCAGGAGTGCTCTTCTTCCAAATGAAGGTAAAGATCAGGCCACGTGGCAGATCAGCATACTTCTGTATTCTGGATTTCTGAGCATTAAAATGATGGTACAACCTGAGAGAGAGAGATGCTTGTGCGGTAAAATTAACATAGCTTATCTCATCCTGTGATGTTGAGCTAAGGAGAATGGAACAACTCTATAGGAGAAGGCCTTAGGGATGCTGGATACCACAACTGAATGGGCAGAGTTAGAACAGATACGTTGTACTCGCACATGAGAAATTCTCCTGTCAACCTACTTCCATAAATAAGTGCTTCTTCAAATTGTCCTGTGGGTGGAGATCCAAATCACAGGGGAGAAAACACACTGAACGGATCAATAGCGGAATTAGAAATAAAAAGTTTGGTTACTCAATATTTTTTGCTTCAAACCTGAAACAGAAACTATTATAGAGCTGATTAATTCAAAACACAGGCCTCAATAGTGTAAGATTTATGTTTCACGTTAAGCAGATGAACATTCTTAAAATATACACAAGAAAAATACCTGCAAATGTTTCTTGGGCCAAAAAAAATATTTCTTCAGTGTATTTTTCATGTTATGCTGTCAGTGAATTCTCAGCTACCAATAGCAGAAGAAACAATCCCTTTTTTGCCTGTGTAATTAAAGTGAGGAGTTGCTTTTATTTTGCTGGCTATCACTGCTATTCTAATTATCTTTTGTAGACTCTGGATTCTTGTTTTCTGCTAGCTATAGCTTGTGCTCTCACACAGCTTCATCCATAATTTCAGGTAATGCAAGAGCCGACTGAAGTCCGTTGTGAAGAGGTACTCATCGGCTTGGTTGCAATCTTCTTCATCAATTGTAAGCACTCCCAGAAGATGCAATCTCATATTGGCTTTTAATTGGTTCCTTGTGACGGTAGGATTTATGGGCTTTTTTCCTTGAATCCCATTTTATTATGGGAGCTTTGTGACAGTTATGGATTCTGCAATGATCAAAATCCGATGGAAATGCAACTAGGCCAAAATCAAACTAATAGAATGATAATAGAGCTGATTTCATCCGAGGAGCATTAACCTTAATGAAAACACAGAAAATCAATATGAAAGGCCAAAGGAGGAATTACTTATGCATCCGTCAAGTCAAAATTAATCATTTTAAGAGGCTTCAGAAAGAGAAGGTACCTTAGCACAGGAATACTAACAGGAAGACAAGGGCATTAGCCGATGTAGGAAGAATAAGACTGTAGGTCTAACAGTGCAAATCAGGAGGGACAAGGAACTGCAAAGAATACAGCCACAACACACTGAAACCTGTTCATGCAACAGAGAAACACGTCTGTTGTTGTCGCCATTAACTGCAGTCAAGAGGGCAAGTGAGCGATCATGACCAGTGGCCACGGTCAGCCGATGCTCATTAGCACAGGTTTAAGAGTATGTCCTGTTTGTGTTTGTTTTCCCTGAGATGAAAGAGAAGATGAAATGGATTTGTGTTTTAAAGTGACTGGATGCTACATGTCCATGAATTACTACTTGTCCACATATCTGTGTTTAACAAAGGACATTTTTGGTGTAGCAGTGTGTTCTGCGATTATACCCTGACTCGATGTGGAACAGGAGCCAGAAGCATTTCATTCCCCTTCAGATTTAAAATCCAGACTGGGAAAGGGCTAGAACACTCCTGTGGGGTGCGCTTGAGATTTGTGAGCAGGAAAGTATCTCTGTATTTGCAAACTTCAAGTCACAGGAGTGGGCAAGCCATTATTACTCCAGTTAGACGGAGAGTAGGAGGACTTGGTGATGCTCTATGATTAGTCTGGGTCATGTCAGCAATTAGGAGCCAGAGAGAGGGAAAATGTGAAAACCACAGTGTTCCCATGCCTGTCCATGGATTTACACCCATGCCAAGATGGGGCACAAGGTGTTTCCCTGCTTCCATCATGGATGAGCAGCAATACGGAGGAGCCCTCTAAGGCC